CTGAGACGTTCAATAGGAAACGGCATGAAGACACGGCTTTGGGGTTTGGCTTGTAGCAGGGTGACCCCAGAGTCCAAAAAGCAGTGGGACGTGATCTGTACATGACGAAAGTATGTCGAACAGCGTTTTGTCTTACTTGAAAAAGAAAATGGCAAAGAAAACGTGATGCAGTTTTGGTTCGCAACCTCACGATCAGGACCTGTTGGTCCTGATGTTTCATCTTCAGCCCGCTTGGAACCGCGGCGGAGTTGGCTCAGAAAAAGGTGCTTGTACCGTGTAACAGGTTACTAGTGAAAATCCCTTGTAGAAGAGATAAGTTGTGGCACTTGTGGAAAAGAGCATTTAGTTGCATCTACCAACTTTTACCCTTTGAGTCAAAAATGACTTCAGAATCAAAATAAGTTGTATTTTAGTTTTATTCAGTCTCTTATATCGCCAAGAGTTGAGTAAACAAGGCTTTTTTTCCCCCAGGGTGCTTAGCAGCTGGTTTTGTATATTGCTTTGGCACATGAACAAGATGGAAGTGTTTTACTTTGACCTGCCTCTTCTGTGTTCTTGAGGCAAAGATTCATTTTCAAGCAGATGTCGGCTTGCAGTGACGGAGGACAACGTCTTCAAGACTACCCAAACTTTATTAATAAAACACATTGTCAGATATCTGTTCATGCAGGTCAAATCCTGAAATGAGAAGCTGTTTTGACTCGATGACTTCAATAATACATCGAATGGATTTTTCAGCTACCTAGTTAAAAATATCGCATTTCCTCTCAAATGTCCCCGTGGGTCATTACGCTCCCTTTAATCCGATACGCAGGCGTTATCAGTTCAGGCCAATATTGATGCCTCAATATAATGTTGGTGCGTACGCTTATGTTGAGATTAATGAGGCTTCGATCGATTGACGAGAACCAAAGAGTTTGCCAACGAAAAAATGTGCTCGTCTTTGATGTGCTCTCTGCTCATTTTCACTCATAAACAGTTAGGAGGGAAACTAGGAAGACGGTTTAGGCAGATAAAGAAAGACCAGAGAGAGAGCGAACAGGGCTGCTTCACCTCTTTCTCTCTGCTCTATTTATATCTCTCTGGGAAATTGCTGAGTGGGCTCTACTGAGGGTTTTCGCTGTAATTGATTCAAAATGCAAGTTCTCTCTTTATTGGTGAGAAAGAGGAGCGAAGGATACCCAGTCAGTTTATGCAAGAGGGCAAGAGGAAGGTCCTTGCATTTTAATCTGGATAAATGTGTTGACCAGGCACTACATCAATGGAATAAGTACGGCACGGGTTATTACTGCCGGGGGCCGGATGGAGTTGCCGAAGAGCCTCTGTCATCATCGCTGGAATAGTGCCACATCAACAGTATCAGAAGTACTCCGGTCAATTGTTGTGATCCGTCCAGAGGATAATGCGCGCTGCAGTCGGATCAGGTTCTCTAAAGCATGCCCGTCTTTCGCTCGGCTGCGGCGCAAAGAAGAAAAAAGGCACCTTAGTGTAAGTTGCGACAGGAAAATTGATCAAACCCATTGTGCAGTCGGGGTAAGAGCTCTGACATGCGTTACAGCGCAACGTTCGTGATGATTTTTGATCCAGATTCAGATCTATGTCTTTATGTCCCAACAAAAACAACAGCACACCTACAATTAACATTTAGCTGGAGGACGTGGCACTAAATCTCCCTGCTTCAACCAGCGGCGGTTAAAAAACTCATACCTTGTCGATCAAAGACATTTGACTGCTGGTATGGCTAAAAAGGTGAACAATGCATAGCATGTGGGAAAAACACAATGTCCAATTGTGAGGAGAAGTAAGTTAGCAGAAAAAGGAATAAGTAAATAAATCCTGGGTGTTTCCCTGCATGTACTTGAATCAATCTCCGGGTTCTTGTGATGCAGTGAGGAGCTCGGCTTGTTAGTTTCGGCGCTGTGAGTTTGATAGCTGATGCCAGGGAGAGAATAGCCGACTCGCACTCCCCCCGACCCCCACTTACACTATTCGCTGACAGCTCGCCACCCATCCAGAAACAGAACAGCACTTTCTGCAGCTGTATGTAAACGCCTGTTATTGTTCGTGGCCAAGAAATCCAGAAAAAAATATATATATATATCTATTCCGACAATTTTCATGCTCACAGTCTGTGGAGAGCTGTCAGTGGGTGCATTTTATTTTATTTGCGCTGTTTGATTTGAACCCCATTTGAAACTCCTTACGGATCTGAACTCTCCCGCGGTCTTAGCCCAAAGCTCGGCGAAGAGCGCGGCGGGTGTCACGGTCGGACAACGCTTCCTCCGTTTCTGAATAACACTATTAGTATTTTAGTTCCCGAAACCACAAAAAAGTAAGAAAAAGCGCACGTCAGGTCAGTGCAACACATCTGTGCACATGGTAAAAATCTCACACCATCCCTACTGTGGACAGCGCGCCTGCACACTGAAGTTCTATCACTGGGTGAATTTATTATTAAAAGCACTAAAACCATTGTAATACATATCAGTTCTGCTCTGTTGAGTTTTTTTAAAATGGTTTTCTTAAACTTTTCCCGTTTGGTTTTCCAGCAGCAGAACCTCAGCTACTCCATTGAAGTAAATAGAAAACTTTATGCTAAGGGAACATTTGTAGCTTGAAATAATTGCCGCGTGTGCCTTCCTGTGTTCTCTCCTGTGAAAACATTTTAATGTGGAGTTATGGGTTTCTTTGCAATCAAATGCTCCGTTTCCTGATAAATCTAGGTTAAACTCTGAGCCTGTGTCAAAGACCTTGTTACTGTAATGGCTTTTGAGTTGGATTGATTTGTTATAATGGTACACTCAGTGGTTACTCTTTGCAGACGCAGCATTCAGTCTCCGCCCTCCCTCGTAGCTGGGAGCGTGCTCAGAAGAGACGAGGCTGTGATACACGGGGGGGGGGGGGAACCCTGCATTCCCTACGTTTGGGATTTCAAATTTTTGTAACCGCCTCGCCTGGCAGCAAAACGTTTGCTTGATTTCTTTCTGTAGATCACAATAATTTTTCAACTAGCTTTACCAGTAAAAAGCAGCTTAAATCTAAGGATCGTAGTTTGTACATATTTTATGCTTAATGAGTGAACAGCGTTTAGTCCAAAGTTGAGATCTGAGAACAAAAACAGAGACACACAAAGCGAATCTGAAGGGCGACCCCAGGTTCTTAATTAACCCATAAGTCAGTGGCCATCTAACAAAACACTGCTGGAGAACTTTCCAACTCCAGACTGAGATCCATAAAACTCCTTAATTATGTTTTTAATGCTGTCTGAGAGGCAGTAGCTTGGAGACCAAACAATCAGGCACAATGCCTCTGGTTTTAAGTCCAATTGTAATTCAAAGTACTGAAATTCTGCCAACCTTCAGGTACATATAATATCTGCTCTTAAATTTTCTTTTTATTCCAAACATTCTGTTGCTGGTGAAAAGCTTTGACCTAAAAACACAAAAGCTTACTATAGGTAATCAAAGTTCGCTTGTAGTTTTTGTGTTTGCATAAAGGGTCGAGTTTAATACGGTGCTGCTCTGATGCTGCTGCATTCAGAGTCAAAGGGTCTGCAGGAAAAGGCAGTTGAACCGGACAAAGCAGGAAAAGGACATTGAAAATATCCAAGGAATTGAGAAAGCCAATGAGCAGTGATTAAACTCTAATTAAAAAGTGGAAAACAAGGGATTACGTTGAAGCCACGCCACGGTCAAGGAGACCAACACCTGCCAGGAAAATTTGGAAGGCAAACAAAAACAAAAAAAAAAACTCCCACAAATATCTCCAGCCGACATGAAAGACTGTCAAAAAAAAAAAAAGTGCCGTGGCAGTTTTAAGATCCATAGTAAGGCCATTTTTTTTTCTTTAGGCGTAAAGACAAAAATGGGCTGCGTGGGGCGAGACGCCAGAAGGAAACCATGACTACGTTGGGACCAAAAAGCAAGCAAGGTTTCAATAAGCCAAGAAAGAAGAGAAAAGAGACAAGCCTGAGCGGAGGAAGGAAGGAAGGAAAAGTATCTCGTTGGCTCAGAATCAAACAAAAGCATGAGTGAAAGAAAAGTTTCAGTGTTTCCATACAAATTGCATAGAAGTATGAAGTAAAATACTGCATGTAAAACCATAACATTAAACTTGTTTTATTCGAAAGGGAACATAGAGGACATATCAATAACTTGTTTATTCAATCTAATATCTCCAATCTATAAGGGATTTGAACAAAACGCTGTTAGCCATGTTTAAAGCTGGAAAGACAGTATTTACAGTTAATTTACAAAAGTTCTTTGTCTTGAGCTCAAGTGACAAAAGTAACAAAGGAAGTGTGATTTTAAAAGTAAGACTGTGAATGTCCCTTTAAGACAAAGGAGCGTTTAGATGCATGGAGTGAAACTGGATAAAAGTGCTGTACTATGAATCACTTGATGAGAATAAAGTCACACCAGTCGGAAAATAAAATCGTTGCGTTACGACGATAAAGTCAGAATATTACACGAGAATAAAGTTTAATAAGTGGAATAAAGTCGTAACATTCGGACTTTGTTCTCAAAATGATGCCAAAACTCTCTGGACCAACATAATTTCACCCGTTCATGTCACCGCCAGATGTTTTCTTCTTCTTGCTTTGTTTTTTTAAGTAAAGTGAATTACTTGCTGATCAACCCAGCCATTTACAGAATGATTTCTGCATCCCTGCGCCGTGCTGCACTCTTACGTTGTGAGAGAGTGTGTATGCGCGTGTGTTCGTGTTCATCTGCCTGTGTGCGGGGGGATGTTGGGGGGTGAGAGGCCAACGTTCGCCGGCATCACGCGAGTCGCCGCGGTGACGTCAGTCACGGCGCGGTACGCAGCTCCTCTCTCTCGTTTCTCTGTCGTTCGTGGTTTGTGCTGTTTCTAATCCCTCGTCTCTGCTCTCTTTTGTCTCCCCTCCCACTCCCTCCTTTCTCCCTCTTTTTGTCCCCCCCCCGCACCCCAACCCCCTCATCCCACCCTCCTCCCTCTGTGTCCTGTTTTCGCTCCATCAGGTGTCCCAATGACTATACGGGGGACCGCTGTCAAAACTCCGTCTTGACCAGTTTCTACAGTACGTCCATTTGCTCTTGTCTGTCTCCTTCCCACTGAGATGCTGCATGCCACATCGGAAGGGTTGGATAATATGTGTGTGTGAGTGTGTGTGTGTGTGTGTGTGTGTGTGTGTGTGTGTGTGTGTGTGTGTGTGTGTTCACTAAACTGCTTCTCCGTGAGGGTGTGTTTGCATGAGATTGTTCCTCCCCCCTCCTTATCTTCAGGTGATCTGCAAAAACACAAAATCTTACCAAGTATTTTTTTTTTTTTGGTCTAGTTTCTGGTGAAAATATCTTAGTACACTTAATATAAACAAAACTACCTTACAAGTGACTTTCAGCAAAATATAGGAGTTTTTTTTTAACCTTATTGGGGTTTTTTTTAACCAGAATTTTAAAAAAAATCATTGACATTAAAAACTTCTTCAAGGGAAAAGTGGCGACAACAAAGACCCTCAATATTGCTGATAAAGCAGATTGTTTCACTATTAACAAGGCATTTGTCTCAGGGAAATAATCTGCCAGTGTAATTTCTAATATTGTCTTTTTTTTTTCTTTTGGCAATAAGTAGCTATTTCTTTTTTCGTTTGTTTTTTTTTTGGGGAGAAAATGACAAACTTATTTTAGAAAGTTTGATTATTTCACTTATAACTGGAACTTTTTCATCAATATTAGGGGATTATTGACTTGCAACAAGCTCTCATATCTCGCTGTAAAGTTGCGCGTGTCAGTTCTGCCTCACTCTAAGCGCACTTAGATATTTGCACCAGACCGGAAACACTTGGTAAGATTTTGCGTTCTTGCGGGGAATCAGAAAAAGAAATGTTCTGATTTTCGGATCATTTTTCTGTTTTCATGCTGGCTTGCATGCTTGAAAACCTGAGCTGAAAATGCTACGGAAGGTTATGAGTTTATAAGCAACAGATTTAGTTTACAACAAACAGAGAGCTGACTCTCTAAAGAAGCTCGAAGTTGCTTTTTTCATTGTTTTGTTTTCTTCCTGAAATGTTTTATTGCTCGTCCATGTCGATGGTCCATTGGTGCTGGTTCCTTCCTACATGCACAGTTATGAGGCAAGTCTCATTTTTCAGTATTGTTTCTCATCAATCACAGAGGAGAGTGATTCGCGTTGATCCGAAACGGCAACTCAAACCTCAAACGTGAGTTTTCAAGAAAGTGAAAGTGAAGTTCTTGCCTTTTGTTAAGGAGAATATCAATAATTCTGTTACTATGCAGAATTATCACGCAACTAAATGAGAAACAGACGTCTCCCCACCTTACCTTTTGATTTTCATCGTTTCTAAGTGAGACTTTCAAAACAAAGATCTCAAAACTTTACAATAAGCAATTCTGACATAAAAAAATCGTTTTCAAAAACATCCCACTGGAACTCGAACTATTTCATCAATATTAAGAACCAACTGATTTAAAGCAAGGTTTTGTATCTTGCTGAAAAGTTACTTTTGTCTCATTTCAAGATATTTGCACAAGAAACTAGACAAAAGTACTTGGTAAGATTGTATGATTTTGCATCGAACTTGACACGTCTGAGATTACATGCACTAAACATTCAAGTTAATCCAGCTTGGAGTTAGAAAATGTGTTTAAAAATGATGATGTGGTTATATTTGCCCAATAATAGTGCACAGTGAAAAGCAAAACAAAAACAATCTGTCTGGGAAAAACAACTTTTCTGTTCTTCGTCTGGCCTTTTAGGCATCATAGTGAGTTTTTACTGCTTTGATGGGAGGTTTAGCTGCAAAGTATGTTTTTTTTTTTTTCTAGAGATTTATATTAATTTAATTCAGGCAAAACCAGAAATCCCCAAAATTCAAGTCTTCTGAGAAGTACAGTACACGTACGTGCATTTCAGAGAAACCTCCGAAGTGTTCAGGAAGTGAGGCCTAATGCTTCCACTGACGTCCAGGCAGTGGAAGAATTTTCTGAGAAAAGTGAAGCATCCTGACCTTTGGTTTTCACTGCAGCGCCCATGGATCATCTGTTAGACCGGCTGCTTTTACAGCATGTGGTTTAAAGGCTGCTTGATCGTTTCGTTCAACTTGTAACGTCTTCAGGAATTCTCATTTTGGGCTCATGATCACAGTGACATTAATTTAAATGAGTAGTTTCACATTTTGGGGAATAAGAAAATCAAAGTACATTTAAAGTACTATGTAACAGCGCTAAGGCCGAAGCAGTGTGAATTGCACAAACCTTCAAAGGAAGCGACACTCGGACCTTGTAGACGGGACGGGAACTTAGCATAACGCAAAGTCATCATTCAACCAACAACAACTGTGTCGCCAGCAGGTCCAGAACTTCAGGTGGTTCTGTCTCGGTTTCATTCAGACTCGTCTGGACTCTCGGCAAGAACGAGACGACGCATGGGTTCCCCCAAAATGTTGGACTACTCCTTTAAATACATCGACGCAAATGGGGTGTGCTTTGTTGCTTTTCCTGCAATTGCAGGGACAGCTTTGGGTGAGACGCGTTCAGAGTGGCCAAAACTCAGCCGAGGAGCTCACGCTCCAGCTTGACTCGGAGTTTCACGTTGTCCTCACTCTGCTGTCCAAGCAATCCCAGGAATGAGACCTTGAGTGTCAAGAAGCTCCATACCGTCCTGGTCTGCTGTTACGAAAACCTCTCAAACATTCGGAAGAGTTCGAAACTGACGTCACTTCAGAAGATGTCAGAATTAACCGGACGTTCACCTCACACCCAGTCACCACGCCGTGTCTGCATCTCAAAACCTGTCTGTGTGACTTTTCTGTCTTTTTTTTAACTCTGCGTTGGAGAAGATTCACTCCCAGCCATTAGATCGGCTGAACTCTTCCCCCTTCACCCCCAGTAAAACAGTAAAATTGGGAACTCTGGTATGATTTTCCCTGTAAATTATGCGCAGGGTTATAAACAGCTGTAAGCAGCAGTAGCGGGACAAAGAGAGGTATGCTGCGGTCGATACGGAGGCACACGACTGCCATTAGTCCAACGAGTCACAGCACTCACCCCCCATTTGCTGTGTCAGCCTCATCAACTGTAGCGTTTGTGTGTTTTTTTTTTATGCTGGAGAATAACTCACTGCTTTTTTTTAATCTTTTGTTTTCTTGTTCTTCCTTTCCGTCTGTGTTTTCACTTTTGTTTTTGTTTCTTCATTTGTTTTTGTGTTTCTGTCCGATGTCGTTCGCTCCAGAAATGAGGTCTATTAACTATAGCAGTAAGTGACGTGGCTTCTTGTCTCGTTGTCGTTTCTTTTTTTTGTTTTATTTTTATTCTTTTTTCCAGTCTTTCCGTGTGTCTGCATGCCCTCCCCCGCCTGCCGCTGGTTTTTCCTTTCCTTCAGCTTCTGGTTCATTTTCCTCCCTTTCGCTTCTCATTTTCTGTTTGCTTTTTTTCTTTCTTCTTCTATTTTTACCCCCCTCCCCGCTCACTTCCCCCCCGTCACTTCTGGGGGTCAACCAGCTGCTTTACCTGTCCGTTACTAATACGGTACATGCGTCGGTCCAAACGACTGATGTGAAAATTATCTTTTTTTTTGTGTCTGCCTTCAAAGTGGACTGCACAGCTGACCATGTGTCTCTTTCTTTTTACAACTTTCTGCGCTGGCAGATCTTTTCAAAAATGGATTTATGGGTATGGAACATTATTATTCATTTTATTGTGCTTTAAATGGCTTGCCGAGTTCCTCTCACAGTCTCACATTACTGTAACCATTTTCTTTCCTGAACCAACAGCTGGGTCTCTCTCTCTCAACCTGTCCCTCTTTTTTGTTCTTTTCCTCTGCCCACAAACCTGATTAGAAGAAACCTAACCTCCTTTCCTTGCGTCCGTTCTGCCCGTTTTAATCTGACAACTCTGGGAAAGCTGCCGTTTTACTAAAGGAGACGCGTTAACCACAGGAGAACAAAGTGTTCACACCCTTCGGACTTTGGTACATTTTGTCGTGCTCACTTTACACACAGCAGGTTCTGAAAGTCCGTTTTATTTGGGGATATCAGAGCGAAAGGGGGCCGGATGCAAACAAACAGTTCAGACTTTTGTTTGTAAGATGGATGACATTTCACAATAATTTCATTGGTGCTGTTCTTTCTCATAAAAAAAACAGCAAAAAAAAAATTATGAAACGCGACAGCAGGTGAAAATGTCCGTTGGATGTGAATATTTTTGCGAATCAAAGTTTTTAATGACGTGGAAGCGTTTGCCCAAAACAGAAAAAAAAAAAACAATGAAGGGAAGTTTCAGAGTCTGCCTCGTCCTCTGGGCTTTGGCAGTTTTGGCCTCAACAGCCTGCCGTAGGACGACAAGCTGCGAGTATTTTACCCGAGCTTTGCCAAAAGCAGGCAAACAGCTTGGCGACATATACGCCGTACTATTACGCCCTTGATTGACTCTCTGTCAGAATCGAGAGCTCGCCTCTCCTAAGTCACAACTGCTGTTGGGCCGCTTGAGGTTTCTGCTCCAGAAACAAGGCCTTGTTTAGAAACTCTCTTTGTGTTTCTGACCCCACCTCCCTCCTGTTCCAGAGCCTTTATTCATTTATTTATTTAGTTTTTGTAGCTTTCGCAGAATGTGATGTAATAAAATTCACAAAACATGAGACATTTTGGCTAATAAGTTTTTCTTGAATCATAGAGAACAACTTGCTAAGTTTTCCACCATATAAATTACATTTTAGCGGCTGTTTTAAAAACCTGCGAGCATTAAGGGACTGTAATCCAACCAGAACTAACACATAAAGGACCTCTGTGATCCAGTTAACTGAAAAGAGGACAAAGTCAGGTCACTATCTGCTTCCTGGGAATTAGTTTCTCTCCTGACGCCCATCCCCTTCCTCCTCCTCCTCCTCCTCCATCCTGTGTTTTCTTCTTCTCCTCCTCCCTCCTCCTCACTTTGATTTGATCTTTGCTTCCAGTCTCTCCCTCTCCCCCTCATCATCTCCTCTGCTTGTCGCTCTCTCCATCATTGTGTCGTTGAGCTTGCTGTTCGGACACAGAGCGTTACGCCAGAGTAGCAGCCAGACTTGCCTTCGACGTCGTCGCAAACGTATTTCCTTCCAAAAACGCACACAGTGTTCGTCGCATGCACTGACACCCATGGTGAAGCCAAATTAAAAAAGCCTTGACATGAATCCAGCTCTTATATCTGCAGCATTTTATGACATAGTCGTTTTGACAAACCCACCAATGACTCGATTGGAAAGTATGGGAGTCCAGAAGGGCCACAATTCAATGAGACTGGGGTGGTGTTATGGAAAGTTTTTTTTTTTGTGTGTTACAACATCTTATGATGTTATTCCCTCACCAAAGACAGAAATGGTGTGTTGCCTTAATTCTGCTGTTTAATCTCCATGGCAACCATTCAGATGTGCAAAACGACTGGGTGGATCTAGCCCCGCCTTCGAGGACGAAGCTCCTCCTCCTCAGAGCTGCAATTCACAAAATTCCAAGCTTCCGCCTCACAAAGCAGCTCTCCCCTGCTAACTCCCCCACCTCGGCTCCTTTAGACTAGCCAGCAGCAATTAGCAAACACCTGGTGGAACTGCGCATCAGCTGAGCTCATCATAGGAGCTACATCTCAGGTAATTGCTGGTGAAAACGTTGATAAAGGGTTAATATAGAAGCCATGTTGTGATGACTTCCTGGAGGCAGAGTTTCAGAAAGAGCAGGAGCTTCTTAAAGAGACAAGGCCCAATTTCAAGGTGTGAAATTATGAAGTCAAGTTTTTTTTAAGTCATGTTTGATATCATTACAACAACCATAACAATTTTTGGGCTTCCAGACACATCTGTGCCAAGAACAGCGAACATTTGAAATGAGTAAATCAGTTTACACAGCCAAAGAATTTTATATATACATATATATTTGTTAAATTTTTTTTCTTTACAAACTTAGCATAAAAAACAAAACATGTATATTTAAATATATATTTATGTATGCTAATGCAGAGAGAGATCGCGATGAGATCCTGCAACATGTGGCGACCAAGACTAAATACCAGAATGAGCTGTTTTTGCAGACAGTATTTGATTTTTTTAGGAGAACAAGCCGCATGCTCACCACAAAAGCACTTTTCTTACAAATGAGGTAAAATTGAAGTAAAAATAAACAGGCCAAGAAGCATTATCTATCCAAAACACAAGTTTCTTTACTCTGCCTGCTGCATTTAAGTGACTCATATCTCCCTACAATGGACACACACAGGCCTGTCACAGTAACAAAATTAGAGATAAATTGTCATAAAAACGATTTCAGTAAGCGATAATATTTCGGTAAACGATAATAAATGGTCTCAAAATGTTATATTGATACATTTTCTAACGATGATTATGCAAGTTGGCCCTCTCAAAGACTTATAGACTTTAATTTTGTTCAGAACGCTTCACGCTGGAACTGGAGGACATTTTATGTAACCAAAAAAAAATAAAACACACTGAATAAAACTGGAATGAAAACTACACCTAATCGAAACCGTAACTAAAACGGATGATGATGCCTCTGTGAACAAAATTGCCCTTCAAGAAATGTTAATCCTCGTGGAAATTGTCGAGCTCGTTTTAGTTTATCATGTAATTAACTAATTAATTATGCAGGCCTCATAGGACTGTGATGGTGGGGAAGAGTTAATGGCACCAAAACCCAAAAATATCCCATCTTTGTTAAGACTTAGTTAACATTAGAACGGCAACAACCCACATATTGTGCTCGTTTATTATTTCTTTAGGAAATTATCGTATTTTTTCCACACCATTTGCTGTTTAGTGAGCATAATGACCAAAACATATTCTGCTCCTACAGCATCATGAATGTTAACACTGCAAAAACACAAAGTATCACCAAGTATTTATGGTCTAATTTCTCCTGTTAATATTATTGCACACTTTCATCTTTATAGAGGAGCTTGTTTTAAGTCAGTAATTCCTCTAATATTGACGGACACGTTCTAATTTCACTGGAAGATTATTTCACTCCTAACAGGACAAAAATTTATTAATATATTTGAAATAATATACCAGTGGAATTAGAACTTACTCTCCAACATTAAGGAATTATTGACCTGAAATAAGCGCACGTGTCTTGCTGAAGAGCTATTTGTAAGTTAGTTTCATCATATTTCAAAGTTTGTCGAGACCAAAAATCCTTGGTGATATTTTGCAGTTTTCGCAGTGAAATTCATCTACGGTGAATTGGAGTCTAGACACTGGCTGCCATGGCGTTAACAAATTGTGTTTGTCTTTTCACTCCAAATTTGTATTGTTTGTTCATTTATTTTTTTTACCTGGATGATTTGTGCTCTCGTCATCCCATCCGTCCAGGCATGTAGTCAGACGCCCGTCCCGCGTCACGTGTGTCATCACATCCCCGCGGTCATGTGCAGGTGTCAGGGAGTCTGCCGGGTCGCCCGCGGGCGTCGTGTAGCTCCGACGCCGGGAGTCGCCGGGCGTGTTGTGGAAGCTGGTTATCGCAGCGGGCACCGTTAGGTGCCAGACATGTGATACGAAGCAGCAGAAGTTGTTCAGACAGCTCAGGGGGGATGTGATGTAGAGAGGATTAACAGTGAGAAAACCTGCTTCTATAGCCACCACAAATGGAGTAGCGCTCATTCGCTGAGTGTGTGTGTGTGTGTGTGTGCGTGTGTGTGTGTGATCTCTAATGCGTGAACTTTGTGTGTCTGCTCGTTGTGTGTGTGCTTTCATCCACAGAGGCAGAGGAGGTCTACCAGAGGCGGGTGCTGACGATCACAGGCATCTGCGTGGCCTTGTTAGTGGTCGGCATCGTGTGTGTGGTGGCCTACTGCAAAACCAAGTATGTGTTTGAAGGAAGGAGAAGCGCTCTCTCCTTACATGAGAAGGACTTTGCAAACCCTCCCGTCAGCCCCGGGTGAGGCAGCAGCGGTGATCAGCCGCTGCTACTGTTCCTGATGCGGTGGGAGAGAAAGGAGAAACGTGGCGACACTACAAAAACACTAAATCTTACCGAGTGTTATCGATGCAGCTCCACTGCTAATACCCGAGTACGCCTGAAAGAAGACGAAACTTGCTTTATAAGTAACTTTTCAGCAACTGATGTGAGCTTGTTTTAAGCTAATAATTTCTTTATATTGATGAAAAAGTTTTGGTTTCACTGTAAAACAAGACATTTTCCCCAAATTGCACGGGAAATAAAATGTGAATGAAACAAGCACCTTTTCATCAATCTTATGGATTATTGACTTAAATCAAGCTTCTGCATCTTTCTGAAAAGCTACTTCCTTGTCTATTTATTTTTTCTTATTTCAAGTGTTATGAGATAAACATAGAAACTACACTGTAAAAAAAATGTCTACTTTACAGCAGCTGGTGTTGCCAGAATTTCACTGTATAAATACGGATTTTACCATATTGACAGGGTAAAATTCAGTTATTTCCATAATTTTGTCATATAAATAAACAACCATGGCTGCCAGTTTTATATTGAAAGATTAGACCTTTTACTAGAAATTTTCTGAAATCAACCTGACAAATCCTGAGGTGCTTTTTTTTGTTGTTTGTTTTTTTTTGTTTGTTTGGCAGAAATTTACATTTCAAACAAAGCCTCACTTACAAACTTTCTCTAGAACTTGGAAAGTTATTTGTAAAAGTGTCTTACCTGTACGTATTATCAAAGTCTTTTTTAAATAAAGCTGCTACTTCTGCTGTTCTCGCTCGCTGTTGGGTTTGCTGACGGGGGATTCTGCTTCTTCAGACAGTCATAAGCATCATCCTGCCAGATCTTTTCTGTGTGCAGCATTAGCTAATAGTGACGTCTTACAGTAACGTGCAGCAAAAATACAAGAACATGTTTCATTTCTGAACAAAAACAGTATTCTAGCACGACAGCTTTGCTTAGAAACAAATGATTATTTTCTTGCAAGACGTGACAGAAAAAACGCAGAGAGTAAGAAAAACGATTCTTGACACCGGAGCAGGAGGGGAGAGTGAAGAGTTTAATGCTTTCTGTCATGTTTACACCCTATTTTTCTCCAGGAAGCGGAGGAATCAGATGCAGCGTCACCTACATCAAAACCAGAATCAGTTCATGGAGCAGCCAAACCGCGTGCTGGCTAACGGTCCCAACCACCCTGGGCCCGGTCCGGAGGAGATCCCCATGCTCGATGTGAGTCCACACAGCGGGAAGTACAAAAACGTGCGCAGCGGGTCGCCACAAGCCGGAGACAGGAAACAAAAGACAGAAAGAAAAATCACCCCGTGGGAAAATCTAAAAACTAATTAGGTTATCTGGCAACAGGTCAAGTAGCATGATGGAGTGTTAGGAGCATCGAAGAGAGGAAGAGTCTGTCAGGAGGGGGCGAGATGAAGAGGAAATGGCCACTCTGGACGATTTCACGGGCAAACAGTTTCATAATTACAAAACGACGCTTCTCGGCGTGTGATTTAGCGGCGGCGGGGGGATTTCTGTCACCTGCGGCAGAAAGACGTGGGAACGTTGTGGAGGACGGAGCCAAAGAAACGAACGGCCGCGATCCGCAGGTCAAAAACCAGAAACCAATCCGAACATGTGAAGCTGATGGTCACGGCGCACAGACACAACATCTCAGCCAGGGTTCCTGGTCCAGTTTCTAATGCCAATACCTTAGTGCACTTAAAATAAGACACATTTAGGTTTTCAGCACAGTAGGAACTTGTTTAAGTCAATTATTCCTTGATATTGATGAGAAAGTACAAGTTTCAGTGACAGATTATTGGACTTGTAACATGAGAATAATGCCTTATCAATAAAATGATCTGCCAGTGCAGCTGGTACTTTTTCATTAATACAAAGGAATAATTGACTTAAAACAAGTTCTTATCTTGCTGAAAAGTTACTTCTAAGTTGGTTTTGTATTATTTGGGTGTACTAAGTTCCTTGTACTAGAAATACATGTCAAGATTTTGTGTTTTTACAGCGTATGCCATCAGTATTCGATTCCTTTATCCTCTTACGTTTTTTCACATTGCAACCACTAACACCAGTGACTTGCTTTGGGACTTTATGAGACGGATCGGCTTGAAGCCACAATTCACCTTTGAAGTTCGCAGAAAGCGATTCGTGGTTTTTAAAACAGTTTTATTACCAAACATCTGAAAATTGTGGTGTGAAGATGTATTTCCCTCCTTTTATTTTACTTTATTTTATGTAGGTTCCTCGTTCTGGAGGACACAAAGTCGACCTGTGAAGTGTAATTTATTTCCGTATGTTCAGCGAAGGCGTCCGAGGTTCGTTAGGATCATGACGGCAGTATAGCGGTGGTAGCACCACGCTGCGGGACGCTTTTTTCAGCATCTTTAGAGAAGCTAATTTGTGCTGATGGGAAGACAAATACAGGGAAGATGATGGGGGAAAAAACACTTATAGGCTGCAAAAGACTTGAAGGAGGTTCAACTTTGTTGAAATCTGTTTAAAAATTTGCAGTAAGATCAGAAATGGGCTCTTCAGAGACGGTATGAAGCCAGTGTGGCTGAGCTTGAGCTGCTTCAAATGGTCAGTGTGAAGCTGTTGGAGACGCCCCCTAAAGGCTCACAACTGGAACTGCAGCCAGACCAGCAGTGTCCATACTAATGTCTGATTTTTATTTTCTTTATTTGTAAAAACAAAAACAAACAAAAAATTCAACTACTAAGCAGTTTTCTATTTCAGTCATGTGGCCGTCATGTACAATTCCAATTAAATACATAAGGTCTTGTATTTAATTGCAACATAACTAAATGTTATGTTATGCAACATAACTAAATGTTTAAAAAAATAAATCAGATGGTGTCATACTGTTACAAATCGAGTTAAACTTTTTAAAAATTAGAAACTAAAATGTAAAGCACTGCAAAAAAAAAGATAAATAAATAAGAGACCACATAAAATGATCTGATTTCACTCTTTACAGGTAAATGTTGGAGTAAAATGAACTTTGTTCTTTTGTTCTATGAACTACTGAATTATTTTTTCTATTGATATAATTCTACACTGCAAGAAGAGCAAATTTGACCAAGAGTGTTTTGGTTTAGTATGTAGTGCAAATATTGTCGTACGCTTCAAATCAGACAAAACTAAGTTAGTTCTGCTGAGTAACTTTTCAGCAGAATATAGGAGTTTGTCTCATGTTGATGTAAAAGTTCTGGTTCCACTGGTGGATTACAGCACTTATAACTTTTCCATCAATATCAAGGAATCACTGACTTTAAAGAAGCTCCTCTATCTTGCTGAAAAGTTGCTTGTGAGTCAGTTTTGTCTCATTTCAAGTGAACTATTTGCAGAAGGAACTAGACAAGAAATACTTGGTGAGATTTTCTGTTTTTTTTCCTGCCCAACAAAACATGAACGTAGCGTCGCGTTAAAAATATCCATAATTTTATCTTTTGTTTTGGGCTCTTACAGGGTTCCCAATCTTCAGCGAGGCCTACAGCAACCTCTCCAATGAGAGCAGATATATCATTGTGCTCATTTAAATTTTACTGCCCTTTAATTATAATTTTGGTGTCTGTGAGAAACACCCCAGGAAATTCATGAATACTAAAGGAAGGACAAAGGACGCAGACTGCGCAGTTAGCCCCGGCTGCCTGCTTAGCCGCTGCTGCTGATGGAGTCGGTTTCACTTTGGGACTTAAAATTTAACACAACAATTAAAGTTGTTTTAGCCCTCAGTGCAGCTCTGCTTCTAAGAGGGCGTTTGTGTTAATAAAACTCTGATCCGCTGACAACACGGCGGAAATTTAGTGCCACATGCTTGATAGGTGTTAAGCAGAGAGCAGAACAACATCCGCCGCTCTCCTGGAGACAGAACGGCCATGAGTCAGCAGCGACTGGGAGCCGATAAAACGCTGAAGCATCTCCTTGTGATTGCAGTTGGATTTACATTTGTGTGATCTGCGTGTGTCGATCGTCAGGAAATGCAGAAAGTCATTGTTTTGGTGTTTGATTTCGCAGTACATCCCAAAGAGCGTCCCAACGACGGAGTGTGTGATCAGCCATGGAGCTGAGGGTGCTGGCAACTATGCAGGCAGTCGAATGTCAACCCGCTCCCATCACTCCACCACTGCCTCACATGCTTCCAGGTAGACCAAACACACACACACACACACACACACACGCGCGTGTTAAAACCCGGACACAATGAATGGCCGAGCAGCCAAGTGTGTTGGCAAAGGAACCAGCACTGATGCAGCAAAATCAACCAATCCAATAAAAGTTTTGCACTTTAATAATAAATAAACTGTGATGTATTAAAAGTTTTTATTTTTTATGGAGCAAGATAAGTGCCAAAAGGATGAGAAGAACTTTTTATCTTGAACTCTGTAAATGAAATAAAAAAAATGTTTTAAAACTAATAGTAAAGCAAAATTTGATTTTAGTTTGAATGAAAATTTTATTGTATTTTTGTATTAAACTTTTTATAAATGCACACTTAACTTTAATACTGTACTATGTTTATATATATATATATATATATATATATATTATATAATATATATATATATATATATATATATGTGTATATATATATATATATATATTTTTTTTTTTTTTTTTTTTCCTTTGGTCTACATCATCTTTTGGCAAAAACTGAAACAGGCCGTTATTTTAGGATTGTGGCGATATAGACTGTAAATATTTCTTTCAATCTTTTGGTTTTTTAACTTTTTAAACTTTCTAAATTATTTCTTTGTAAGTTTAATGTTTCTGTAGGATGTCTGCAAACAGACTGTGGTTTGTAAGCCTGGTAGTTAGCCTGGAGAGCTAAGAGCGCTGCGAGCTAATGTTGTCCGTTGTGGCACTATTTTACACAATATTAACTTTTGATCATCGCTGGCGGCCAAACCTAAGCGGCAGACAAAGACTTGTCGCTCCTGTCTCTTCACAAGAGGAAGATCAAGGTGTCTTGTAGCAGTCTTGGCAAAATGCAATGCTTCAGTTGTTGATGACGTTGTATTTTTGTGGTTTTTTACGATGCCAAGCATTTTGAACTGCCTTGTTGCTGAAATGTGCTACATAAATAAACTTGACTGATTGATTTAACGTCACAGACCTAACCTGTCTCCATTGTTTTTTTATGCTTTAGACTTACACAGCTGAGCGTTGCTAATGCTGCTTTAACCTTTCACACCCGATGCTAACCTGCAGACACGAGGAGCAGACGTGGAGCATGGAGCGGACAGAGAGCGTAAACTCAGACTGCCAGTCGGGTGGGCTCTCCAGCTCCGTGGGAACCAGTAAGTGCAGCAGCCCGGCATGCATGGCGAGGCGGGCCGCCAACTACGGCTGCACAGACGTGTCAGGAATGGGGATGCAGTACGGGGACTCTTACGACTCTCTAAGAGACTCGCCTCACAGTGACAGGTAAAGAAAAGCCTCTTCTGGGGCAACGGGTTGAGAGTACTAAATCATTAAGCATCTGTCATATTTAAAACTGAATCGTTTGACTACATGTTTGTCTGAATGACCAGACAGAAGGGAATCACTGAGACAACATTCACACCAGCCGTGTTTAGTTCGCCTCAACAGAACTCCAGTTTGTTAGAAAGTCCAGATCAAACTCTGGTCGGCTTAAGTACCTCGTTCTCGGTTCAGTTGACGTGAATCCCAGCGCAGTGTGAATGCTGAACAGACCAGAGACCGCTCCAAAACCAGGAAGCGGACTATAGCGCTGGGTATTGTGGGTAAATACAATCAAAACAAAATTCATCATTCTCTTGTCTTTAGTTGTTCACCAAAGACAAGAGAAATCCTATCAAATTTGTCGCCACTCCATTTTTGTTTACATTTTGTGGAGAAGGAAGTTGCGCTCAGCGTCTTCTTCAGAGGTTTTTGTGTCGCTTCTTTCAGTGGTTCTTGGTGCAGCGCCACCACAGGCGAGGAGGTGAACAGATTTTTCAATTGGTTTGTATCATTTGACACAGTGCAGTGTGAAAGCGAAACTCAGCAGCTGAACATGTACCAAGCGTAGCACCTTTGACCCCCAATGGAACCACATTGCACTCGCACTTGAATTTACAGATTCACAGATGTAGCAATAACTGAAGGATTACAACTAATTAATTACAGTCATGGGAAATGTCTGCATTAAAGCACTTATTCATCTGAGGTCAAATATATTAACAGAGCTTGATTTGAGACTCAGACTCATGTTTTCTGCTGCTTCAGATACGGCTCTGTTTGCTTTCCGTCCAGATATGTGTCGGCGCTGACCACGCCGGCGCGGCTGTCTCCTGTGGAGTTCCACTACCCCCCTCTGCCGCCCCAGGTGCCCATCTTCCAGATCACCTCTCCCAACACAAGCCACGCCCTCTCCCTGCCCCCTGCTGCCGCGGCTTACCACAGAGACGACGACCAACCGCTGCTCAGATGCCCCGAAGTACGTAGGCAGACGTGACGCGCGCTTAGCGATGTCATTAGGAGTTAGCAGGGAAACGAGACGAGAAACAAGAGACCTCTTGAAGCACATGACTGTGAAGTCAACATTTTTCAAAATTCTTTACAATAAAATCTGCAAACGGTGGTTTTGACGTCTGTATCCGACCTGCATCACACATCACATATACATGTTAGCAGCTACCTCTCTGTTGCCAACTCAGCAACTTTGTTGCCGTATTTAGCAACTTTAAGGCAAGAAAAACTGGTATGAGCCAAAATCAAAATCATTAATCTTTTTAAATATTGTGATGGGCTAAAATAGTGCTTTTCAAAGTGATGGACCTCCAGGGGGCGCTAAGGGCCTCAGAAAGTTGGAGGAAAGATGGGGCAGCTACGCCATGGAGGATATGCAAAAATAAAAATATTGACAAAAAAAAAAGTCTAATCATAATTTTTTAATTCAAATTTTTTTATGTTATCTAAAATATTTCTCAATCATTATTGCAAAATAAAAGTTAAAATCATCAAATGTATGAAGCTGCTTTGTTCCTGCAGCTAGCACCCCTAGCTTAGACAGCGTCACTAGCAAGTTCATAATTCTCTTGTTTTGCTTATTTATTTTTGGATGCTTAATAGGTTTTTCAGTTCCAGTGTTAAAAGTTTCAGCAGATTTTGAAGTTTATTGATCTCTGAAGTGTTTTTTGTGGTAATACAATGATAATGGCATTGTTATGCCATTATCATTGTATTACTTGAAAAAACGATCTCAAAACAATATTATTGGTTATCACAATAGCGACCGGGGCGATTTATCGTCCATCAGAATTTAAGCAGATGTGCAAAGCTGGTAGAGACATATAAAGGACTCAGTGCTGCAAAAAAAAAAAAAATTTGAATACCGTGAAAATATTATTGTGATGAATATTTTTGTCACTGCTTTAAATTGCAAAATACACTGAAGTTTCTGCACCCACTCAATATTTCGAGGATTTCCAAATGTTCAATATCTATCGAATATGTTATCGATAAACTGTTTCTCAGGTTTCGGGCTCAGCACACGTCATGTTTCTCTGACTCGTTCCCCTTGTTTCGCATCAGGACGGAAGTTTATACCGGCAGCCCAGAAGACCCCGGCGGCCCTACCTGACTGAGAGCACAGGAAGCCTACCGTCCAGCCCCTACCACCTCCCGGACGACGAAGCCTACGAGACGACGCAAGAGTACGCCTCCTCCCGGGAACCCATCCGGAGCCGGCGCCGGCCGCGGCGCAACCGCCTGAACGGCCACGCGACCCAACGCTCAGCGGGCTTCCGGGACTACAGCTCGCAGAGCTTCAGTCAGTCGGAGGAGGAGGAGGACGAGGACGAGGACGAGGACGCTCACGGGGAGAGCACGCCTTTCCTCAGTATGCAGAACATGAACATGGACCAGCCGCTGACCGGCTCGGGGTACCGCTCAGCGTCCGGCGCGGACACACGGACTCACCGCGGGCTGAGTCGGCCGAGCGCGCGCAGCAACGGGCAGAGCCGCAGCTCCCAGTCACAGCGCTCCAAAGCCGACAACATGCCCCTTTAAGACCGGACCTGCCCCGACACCCACCCGAGACACCCACCCCCACCCCGCCACCTCACACACCTCCTCTCCTCCTTCCTTCCCTCCTTCCTTCACGGAACCAGTGGACTAGAGACCTGCACCTAGGAGAAATATTTTTATTTTGTATAACAGACAGATATTCTAAACAAATGAAATATTTATTTTCATTTCAGCAAAAATTGTCTACTAGCTAACAGCAAAGACTTTTTTTATAACAGGGGGGATATTTCTATGTGAAGTTTTTTGATTTACAGCATTATGAGAGACGAAAAGAGGAGAATTACGTGCCAATTTTTTCACAAGTTAGATAAATAGAATAATATTGTGGTGCCTTTTGCTGTATGCTGAAGTCGGAGGTCCCGTTGAGTTTTTGTAGCTTTTCTTATAAAGACTCCTCATTTTTATAGAGACCAACCCTCTTCCTTCCTATTGCTTTGCTTTGGGTTTGTTTTTATTATTATCATTATTATTATGTTTCGCTCTGATTTGGCATCTTCCTCCTTTTGAACTGTGATCTGATCATGTCATCATGCAATATCGATTCCTTCTGTGTACCAGGTGTGTTTACATGAGTCCGCCCCGCCCGCGCGGCGGTCCAGCCGGATGTGCGGGGTGGATTCCTCTGACGAACCCACATCAGTCATCAGTCCGCCACCCGTCGCGCATCTTCCCGTAGTTTCTGTCGGAAAAGAAGGGCGCTCAGGTGTTGTATGTAGAGGGACGGCGACCTCAGATATGCGTGTAGGTGTTCAGGGTGCTGTCACTACATTAATGTGTGTGTGTGAGGTTTTCATGACGCCCAGTTTGCGGTCCCTCACCTGACGCCACGCTGCCAGAAGCTCCACTGCACTGTAAGCACCTCCCTCGCGCGAGCCAGGGAGCCGCCCGACCCGAACTGAACCAGAACTGAGTCCAGTTGTAATATCCAGCCTGACTCTGGCCTCCCGTGGACTGCCTGCCCCCCACCCCCACGCGTTTCCTATGCCAGCAGCTTAGAGCCGCACTGTGTCTCAGGACTTTCCCCATCGCATCACAGCCGAACGACTCCCCACGATCCCTCCGCCGTCCCCCATCATCCCAGTGTCAGATCAGTCCACGCGGCCAGAACCCACACCACCGCCCACCCGCACTCACTTCCGTCGAGTTAATAGAAGGGGAGGAAAAACATGAAAAATAAAACTCATAGCTACGAGTTTAGGGCGCTGAAGTTGGGGACGGGATTGGAAATTCACATAAAAAAAAAAAAAAATTAATATTCAAAAAGTTGTATGAATGAATGAATGAAGCCGTTGTGGCGAGGATACATCCGGGGCCTTTCTAAAATAATGCCTCACGCCAACCTCCCCACAACCCCCCCTCTATGCTCCCCCCTTCACCGAGAGGATGACGTCATACCGGCTCCTTACTCCTGCAAGTGCAGCTCAGAAAATTACAATATCATCAAAGTGGTTCGGTCACTAATCCAATTCAAAAGTGGAACTCATATATTACACACAAATCGACGCATTCCAGTCATTCGGTGGTCTTTGTGTTCTTCTCCATTCTCCCGGAAGTAGACTACAAGGTCTACTTCCGGGAGAATTTCTAATGGACCAATCAGCGAGCTGTGAACGATGACGTTGATTTTGTGCGTCGTTTTAGAATTGTAGTCTGCCCGTCATTTTTACGGACTGGGTAACGTTTGTAATGTCGTCAGAGTCCACGCCTGGACTGAATTGTGGTGATTGTAGCCCACAGAGTGAACACCTGGTTCTGTGTTAATGGCTTCGTTCAGAGCTGTGCTGTTGAGCCAGGTCATAATTGGTGGCTAGCTTACAGCTAACGAGACCCCAGAATGTTAGCTTCCAAACTTAGGATATCACAGGAAACAATTTGAAAAGATTTCAGATGTAAACATGTTCAGCTCCCTCATCGCTGTGAATGTCAGGTCCAGGCTAATAGTTGAATCAGCTGAACGCTGCTTTGATTGGGATCGAGGGTGTGGAGTTTACACAGTGCAGCCTTGACATTACCATCTCTTTATGTTATCATTTTTCCCATATTTATGGATCAAATATCCATATAGAGGTTATTTCTCTAAGCAGTTAGTGGTCTAGTTAACAGGAAGCTTCCAGTTTCCAGGAGTTTGGCTTGTTTCCATAATAGTTGCACATGTGTATACACATGGTGTACAAAAGCATTCAGCATCCATTTTTTTTTGCAAATCCAAAGACATCGACGGCAGCCAGTAATGAAATGGTGCAAAGTGATCATGTCGTTATATGCCAATAAAACCGGTGTGCAACATGATGACCTTCGCAGTGAACATCCGACTCGACGGCCGTCCAGCGACGACCGTCAGTGAAAATACGAAAGGTGCTGTGAATTTTGCATTTCACTTTGAAGTCACTGTCCCAGAGTTTGCAGGAAGAGTAGAGAGGCTCAGAGTCCACTCCGCTTAAGGTCCAGTGACGAGTCTGCAGATGTGAGCCCGCTGTGCTGCATCAAGTCCAGTCAGCACAGAATGTCTTCCATTCTTCTTCGTTTTCCCGCAGGATTTACGCCACACGTTAGAAAGGGCTTACAGGGGCAATAGCCCAGGGCCCCCAACTTTTTGGAGGGGAAGGGTGCTCCCAAAGATTTTTTAATGATTTGTTTTTGTTACTGAATGCGTGTTTTGCAAAAACTCTGCTTTATGGAGCGAACGTAGGCCCAGATCACGTGAGTTTTATTATTTTTATCAATATAAATATCCAGGTGTTTGAACATTATGAAGGAACGGCAGATTTGTTTGGTAACAACATGGAGTCGTTGGCTAGCGGACGTATTAAACCTACGATGCATCAGTTCATAGCTGCTGGTATTTAGGACTACCTAATGATTCACTGTAATTTGCTTTAGCAATTGAATATTTCCTTATCAGATAGGGTACCAAAACTGTCTCCAGCCCAGGGCCCACATCCTTGTAAATCCGGCTCTGGGCAGGACTTGACACGCCCCCCACACTTGACATCCATGCCGAACGAACACCTGCTTTAGCAACCGTGGTGCGACTGCACCAGGCTTCCATCAGACCCGATCGCTCTCACTCCGCTTTGTTGTTTTTTTTAATGGCGTGTTGAGCAAATTCATTTTCAAAATGTGAATTTGCGCAATCATCGGTCAAAGGAAACACAGCTTCTGACAGACCGTACGAGTTTCACTTTTGAGTTTATTTGACTGACGTTTGAATTTACTGAGATGCACCTGAGATGTTTTTGTCCTTTTCTTTTCCAAACTTCCATGTGTCTTCGTCACGGTAGTGGCTGGCACAGCTTGGACGTGAATTAAGAGGCGACAAAGCACACTTGTGTGGCGGTGTGTGTGATAATCCAGGTTAACACGTCCTCAGTTGTGATTCCGACATTTTGAATTGCTTCTTTTGCTTCGTCATGGCGCCTGACAGGGGTTGTTTTTGTTGTTTGTTTTTTCCCCCTCGCCATCTCCCGCCATCATGTCTTCCTCTCTCCCTCTTAGGACCTTCCAAAAGCAGCCAGCGGAGGAATTTAAACCCCTCATCTGGAACACACAGAGCAGCACACTCGCATTAAGCCGACCAAAACTCTTCCGCCCCTTGGAGACTCTTTGAGGATGAACGTCACTGTGCCCCATAGAACTCGTTCCCCTGTTTAGGTTCTGTTTTCTTTCCTTCCAAAGACGATGCATGGATCAGAGATATAGAGTATCTTAAAAAAAATCAAACAAACAAAAAAAACAAAAAAACAAGGTGACAAATCCCGCTCGGAATCCCAGTAGAGGTGAATCATTTGGGTATTATTTCCCTTCCCCCCAAGCCCCAAAATAAAACCCCCAAAAAACGTTCCGCCTATAGTTCTAACGTATTGTCACTGTAATCAGTCCGGGATTTTGCAACGTGGAAAATCAGCAAGTGAGGATAGTGTGCTTCTAGAGCTAGTCGAAATGTTTAACAACTTCTCTCCCCCGTCCCCACCCTGTTTCTCCTCACCCCACACTTCCCCACCCACCTGTGGCATACACACATAAATGTCACTCATGCACACACTGACACACACTCACACTTTAATACACACACACACAGAGAAAGACACACAGCCCTTTAACGTTTGTTTGTCAAGCAGTTTGTCTTTTTTACCTGCCGATTCCCTCTCCTTTCCCTCACTTCCACCCCCCTCTTCCCCCCTGCATGTCCTAGTGGTACTGGTAGTTGGGTGCATGGAAAAAGCAGCAAGCAAATTGTTTTTCCACTCAGTTAAAAAAAAAAGAGAGAGAAGAATATTAACAATAAACGAGTTTTTAAAAAATGTCATAATTTAAAACATCCAGCAATAAATTCCCCTTCTCTTCATGTCCATCTTTCTTGGAAAATGCTAGGAAATTTTTTGCAAGTTTTATCAAAAACATACTACTTGTAAAAGAAGAAAAATCCAAAATCACCCCTTCATATGGAAAATAAAACTTTATTCCTACAAATTTGAAAACGTCCTGTCATATTTGCAAAAGTTACCTTTCCCCCCCAAAAAAGGAAAGAAAAAAAATGACAGATTGTTTTATTAAATGTAGTCTTGAGTCTGAAAAAAAATGAATAAAAAAAATAATGTAAGGGGTTCCAATTTCAAATTGCACCACTAGAGGGCACTGTTTACTTTGAGCCTAATCTGAACTGAACTCTTGGTTCATGAAATGTTACAGAAATATAATGGAACATTTTTGTATTCTGCTTAGAAATGAACATTGTCAGAACTGTTTGAAAGCCGATGATGGACAACTGTCATCTCATATGTGGAAGTAAGCCTGTCAGGTTTCGACTGAAGATGTTTTTCTTTTGGCTGAGAAGTTTGTTTCTGATCAGAAAGGAGATGAAAATCTCACCAGGAGTCTAGAATTACTTCTTTGTTGTATTTTTATTTCAGGAAACGCGTGCGGCCACTCTACATCATGTTATAGTTTCAGTCGAGAGGTTCACTTTCTCACACTTTATGCGACAGACTTATTCCAAATTGTATTCAACTCGTCTCTCTCCTCAAAACGCTACACACAAAAACACCATCATGACCATGTGGGGAAAAAAGGTTTTTGAGATTTTAATTTTTTTTTCCACATTTACTAAAAATAGAACACCTCATTAAAACGGTCTAATTAGTTACACTTATGCTGTAAGTCGTGGTTTTGAGGAGCATGGATTTGGCACCTGCAGATTCCCCTAAATCTCAACCCAAATCTGGAAAGGTGGAAAAAGCCCCCCGCACCCCAACTTGCAGCACTTAAACAATGTCCTGCTGTTAAAACCTTTTGTTTTGACACCAACAAACCGTCTCAGTCTCCGCTACAACATTCTTGTTCTGGTTTTTCTTTCTACAAGTTTCGCAACGTGAGTGTCAGAGGGTCGTTTTTTGGAGGACAAGCATTCCAAAAATCTGTGTTTCTTGATTGCTCTTCGCCCTGCAGAGTGCATGGCTTCGGCGGGAATTCAGGTTTCCACAGGAGGAATGCCAACGAGGAGGCTTCTTAATAAATGCCTCCCAGATTTCTACTTGTAAGCGGTGAGACTCGTTTTACAATTCGTTAATCGCTTTGCCAAGTGCCATGACCAAATAACACAACCATGCAGAAGCAAACAAAGAGCCCTGCAGGAATATCCCTGTCAATTTCAGAAGTAAAATCTAACAGTGCAAGTTGCTGTGAACTGCATTTAGATTAAAGATGACCTGACAGCTGAGACTCCCCCGCCTGCGGTTTGACCCAGGGCTGTTAGTGTTGGACATAGAAACCACAGAGCATTTCTTGCTCTGTGGTTTCTGCCTGCCAGTAGCTGTATCCATCAGCAGCCTGACAAATTCTCATTCATCCAAAGCCGCCTCACAGGTCGGTTCTGAGTTTCAGCTCTACACTCCCTGCGAAACGGCTCTGGCCCCAGAAACCGGATGAGTTTTCACCGAGCGAGGAGGACTCCGCTTGAAACGGGTGAGGAAACTTTTCATTCAGAGTCGCATAAAGTTTTGATCGTCAAATTATTCCTGTTAGAAATGAGAAAATACCTCATGAGTATGTTTTATGCTTTTATTTTATTTTTTTAAATGTAATTTTACACAAACTTTGTGAAATTGAAGGCTTTATAGCTTTCAATTTCACAAAGTTAAATTGTGAAATTTAACTTTCACAGTTTAACTTTGTTACAGCCAAAGGTGATGAGGAAAAATCAACTGTGAAGTCAAAGTTTTACTGTTTTTCACAGTTTCACCTTTTCTGGTGTAGTTTTTTTCTGCTAAGGTGACTCCAAAAATATCACTGCACTCTCAACATGAATTCTCTGTTTTGCAACTTTGATGTGTTTTCAGCACTTTGGGAAGGTTTATTATGAACATCAGCTACAAAGCAAAAACAAATTCCAGCTATTTAGATTTATTTATTTAGTTATTTATTTATTTACTTTTGGAAATTAAAAGAAACAACACTGAAATCTGCAGCGTAGTATATGGTTTAATTACACAATTAGTGCTTAAACCACATTCTTCATTTTTCAGAAATGATTCTAGAAGCTTAGTTAGTCCAACAACCCCAGTTTTCCAAAGTCATTCACTGTTTTATTTTATTTATTTATTTATTTATTTTCATATTTTGCCACATTACAATAATAAATCTGCTGGGTTTTTGTAACAGGCAGCAGATTGCAATAATTGTGAAGATGAAGGAAAAGTTTAATTTTATCAGCTCGATTTAATTCAAAAATGATTTATTTTCCCCAAGGGGAAGTCAAATGTTGCAGCTCACTTGATGAAAGTATCCGCAGAGACGCAGGAAGGATCTGCAGTAGCAGTCAATATTACAACGGCTCAGAAGATACCTCTGTCTAAAGACACTGTTGCTTGTATGATGGCCTCATGGACGTCATGCTAACATGTTAATTCCAGGCAGCAGAGACAATATTCCAGAGTAAACTGATGATATCAGTTGTTGGCTGGCACTGCTAATTTGCCTCATTTGCTTTTGCCGCTCCTCTTTAAATCTCCAGAAGTAAAATATTCAAATTCACACCAGCGCCGCACATGTAAGTGAAAGCATGTTGCCCTTGTTCTGAAAGAATAATTGACTTTTCCAAAACTTAAGCAGCTGAAAGAAATCTTCAAAAAAATATGTGTTAAAAGGTCAGCGAAAAACTAATTAATAAAGTTAAGAAGTAACACTTGATATAGTGTATGGCAATAGATGCCTTACTGTAAAAGAGAGTACAGAAAAACAAATGACTATCAACCTAAACTGAGAGGTTTAGCTTAGTTTATCTTTTGGATTAGCTTAGCGTATCTCTTTCTGTTAGACCAGTTAAATTTGAACACATTAAAGTCTTTGGTTGTATAATAAATTGCGAATAAGGTCATGTTTAATGCTTGCAAAGCATTGAATTTTTCCAGAATGTTTGACTAAATGTAACATAATTCATATTGTCATGACTCCAAATGAAGATAAATGTGCAACAGTTGCTATCAAAAGAGTCCAGCCAAACTAACACAGCTTTTCTATTCATTGTCAGCTGGATGGCACGACGCTGCTGTCGCTTGAGAAACATCTTGATCTACGTGTGTACGCCATGCTGCTGCCTCACCCTCCTCTACTGCTACGCCGTCGTCACCATTTACATGCACATAAATTCACCTGTGTTGAGACAGATCCCCATGGTTTCCCAAATCTGGCGAGCCCCCATTTTGAAGCCACGGGTGCTTCGAGCAACGGCAGCAGTCCCTCCATCCCTAAAACCTTCTGGGAACAACATCTGCGAAGTGATGCCTTGTGGAACCGGCTCCAACAGCACGTCGACCGCCGTTTCAACCCCATCATCCGCAAAGAAAAATCCGACACGTTGTTAGAGCGAAGTAGCTTTGACGAGTCTCTGCTGCTACAGAGCTACTTTGAAGTTACCGGCATGGACAAGGTGAGGGAGAACTTCGAGAGACTACCAAAGCAAGTACGAGAATTTGCGAGCAACATGCACAAGAGGAACTACTCTATCCTCATCCGACCAGACGGAGAGTGTGGAGCTCAGTCAAAGCAGGAGAAGGAGCCTCCGCTGATTCTTTTTGCCATCAAGTCAACGGCGCTAAACTTCAGGAACCGACAGGTCATTCGACAGACGTGGGGCCGGATCGGATGGGTGGAGGGACAGAAGATCAACAGCAGCAACAGAGATATGGGTGGAGGATACATCCGAAGGGTATTCTTACTGGGCAAAGAAACCCCAGAAGACCTGGGTGTAGACATATCCCATTTACTAAGAGCAGAAAATAAGCGTCATGGAGACATTCTGCAGTGGGATTTCAAAGACACGTTTTTCAACCTGACTTTGAAGGACGTGCTCTTCTGGACCTGGTTCTCACGCCACTGCGGTAAGCCTCTCTTTGTCTTGAAGGGAGACGATGACGTCTTTGTCAACACCCCAAAGCTGATCAGTTACCTCCAGGATCAGCTAGAGAAACAGATCCCGCAACACTATGCATGAGTTCATGGTCGGCGAGGTGATAGGGTCTGCTTCACCCAATCGAGTGATGAAATCAAAGTATTTTATCCCAGAGGGCTTTTACAGGGGGCTCTACCCCATGTCCGCGGGCGGAGGAGGAGTGGTGTACTTGGGAGAGTTGGCTCGACGCCTGTACAACATCTCTAAAACAATTCACCTGTTTCCTATTGACGACGTCTACGTCGGAATGTGCATGATTCGTCTCATCGCCCATCCTCTCCACCACCCGGCTTTCCTCACCTTCGACTTCACCGAGAAGGAAGAGGCACAGCCGTGTTCGTACCACACCATCCTTCTGGTCCACAAGCGAAGCCCCAGAGAAGTAGTCGACCTGTGGGCTGACCTGAAAGACACATGGGAAAAATGTCAGGATGTACCTCTGAGGGGGGTCGAGAAGAAAGAACAGAAAGTAACACTGCCAACGAGTGTTTAAGCTCATCTCAGGACTCTTATCTGAAAAAACAATGTTAAAAACAGTTCTGATCATGACCGCTTCATTGTGTTTCCCACACACTGGGAAACTTTTTGTTTGCTGATTGTACTTCCTTTTGTTGGGTTATTAAAGTGATTCCAGGAGTTCCACTGACAATCATGGTTTTTTGAAATTACCTAAGCAAGTAGATATTTGTGTTGTACCTCTGCAAAGGTCTTCGGATGATCCATCGTAGGTGGTTGGGTTTCATCCAGCAACCGTTGGGTGGCCAGTTTGAACCTCCCCCATTTATCAGTCATTGTATCTTTGAGCAAGACACTTCACCCGCCTACTGGTGGCAGTCTTCAGTCCCAGTGGCCCTGATTCAAGAGCAACTTTGCTAATGCCAGCCTCTCCTAGTTCAGCT